GAGACCACAGGTCTTTATATAGAGGTCAATTGCCCGGTATTGAGACCACAGTTCCTTATAGAGGCCAATTGGCCGGTATAGAGACCCCAGGTCATTACTGAGGCCAATTGGCCGGGTCAATGACCTAATGCCTTCTTTAACTGCCCTCGTATGTTATTGAAAAACATTGTTGGATAATAAAACACTGGACGCTACATTAGACAAATTCAATTTACTTATGGGAATTCCTCTATCAGATTAAAAACACGAAAAGGGAAATTTATTTATGCCGTTGTCATAGTCACTCGTCGTCGCTGGGACAATTTACAGCCTTCAGATATGATCAATTATTTTTCAAAATAATTACAAATACCTTGCTTTGAAATTTATTTACCACTTTTGAATTTATACATATGTGAATATTTACTTTCATATGAAGGGGAAAACTGAGATTGTTATAAAAATCTTGCACTTTGGCGGTATAATCAATCATGCGAATCAAAAAGATTTCAAGACATAAGGACACCACTCAACAAACAACAACTCTCACTTGTTGGTTAATGGAAAGGGAATAAAAACAGCAACCTCTTAGCATATCCTGAAACTGGTCGATCGAAAATGAATGAATGAAACTAATCTGCCCTAATCGCCTTAGTGCTAATGGCAACTGATCGAATGGTCTTTCGCATGAACATTCAAAATACTTGAGGGTCGTTTTTTTTCTAATAAAAATTATCTTGATTTGACTTTGTTGTGGTTTAATGCCATACACTGCATCAGCCTTTTTTTCACCCGTTTGGCCTGTTTATAGAGCACCCTGAAAGAGTAAAACCAGTATTATTTAGATGAGAATGACTGATATGCCATTGATAGGTCGATGATAAAAATAAGGCTATTAAAGGAAACCTGCACAAGCAGTTACGTATTTTTATAAGAAATTCTATAAATAGTCTTATGAAAATGCATTCAGTATTGGCTTACTTTTCATCAAACTTTAAATTGTTAGTGCGTATTATAAGGGTATATGACCTGTAATGGGTTAAGTAAAGTGATTATATGTATACGGTTAACTGATAAAAGACCCCGAACAGATAAATTAACTAAAATTTTTAATTAATTCTGCACCAGCGGGATATACAGCATTTCTATTGTGTTGGTACATATTGGTTACGAATCATGACGTTTAAGGGAACGTTTTTGTAATTAAAGAAAAGTCCTTATTTTTGATGGCAGGCATGATAACTCCCCACTGGAACATTGGAATCCGAAAATTCCAACGGTGTTAGAAAGAACACATGTCTGCCTCTCGTATGAACTAGGATCATTGACTTCGCTCTAAAATTAATAAAATGGCGGACTTTTGAAAAAATATTTTTGGAAAATCGCCGATTTTTTACTAAAAACCAAGTTAAAAGTAAGAAAGATCTTCACCGATTGGCTTTATCCTAGTTCATACGATAGCTATACACTCACAGAGAAACGTGTAAAAATTTGGAATCGATTCGGTCATTAGTTTTTGAGTTATCGTGCCCACCATTCACAAAAGAGAAAAACGCGTTTAAAGTTTGAGAAGCCCTTTAGCCGTCACTTGATGCTGACACAATAAATCGACTATATCTTCAAGAGTTCTTGAGATTTTCTCTTGAAATTTTGTAGGGACATTCTGGGGGGTTCCCTTAAATCAAAGTTCAATCATGCCCATTGAAACGCACGTCTAATTCTGTAAGAGGTAAAAATTTTACATGCCGTCTACGACTGCAATGGCGTGGCACATCTTAAATTATTGGCATAAGGTCGTACAGTGAATAAGAATTACTACCTTGAAGTTATACGGCGAAGCTGAATTGTGGAGAACCCAATAGTGGATATTGCACCATGATATCACACCAGCTCACACACCGATGCTTGTGCGTGATTTTTTTTTACCTACAACGGAATCGTAGCCATAACTCAACACCCGCGTTCACCGGACGTGGCCCCCGCTAACTTTTCCCTCTTTCTAAAACGGAATACGCCAATGAAATGAAAGCGTTTTGCTACGATTGAGGAGAAAAGACTTGAAAAAGGAGCTGATGACTGATCAGACCTCATATATACAGGTAGCAGATTATGTTCCGATTTATTAAAATCAAATGAGATTTTAATAAATCGGAAAAAATAAAGATTTAATGTGAGATCGAAAAATTGTTCATGTAACAAGGTAAAAGAATCTAATGTTAAAAAGTTAGAAGCGACAGTTTATCGAGAACATAGCTCCGTTATTTATAATATACAGTGTAGGGGGATTTGTACTTCTTCAGCCTTATTAGGGTATATAATCTTTGCTATGGCAAAAAGTGCCTTGCCGAAATATATTTCAAGGCATGTCTCTTTCGACCAAATCAGTTTCTGAAAATTTGGAGCCTCATTTACAAATGACAGTCATTCTTCTTCTAAACACAAATTAACTTCAAAGATAAGGAATATATATCCACTTCTTCTGGTACTTCCCACACGAAATGATTAAAATTTTGGAGGAATTTCCTTTTATTATAGAATGCGAACGAACTATTCGATTTGAAGTAAACTTTGCACTAGCTATTATTTTAACCGAACATGTTTAATGTTTGAAGATGGGACTTATGTATGGGTCGACTCCTTCTAGTAAAATTTGCAAGTCTCATATGAACCAAAGGTATATCCAAATCTCATCTGAAGTTCATCCGTCCACTCCTTCAATATTGAACGACAAGAATGTGCGATTTGATTCAAACTTTGCAAATCGTAATACTTTTACCAAACCTTGATCAAGTCCGAAGATAAGATCCATCTGTCCACACCCTTCCCCCCAAAGGGTAAACATTTTAAACACTCATTAAATATGAAGCGAATGTAGTAACCGATATGATCCCTTGGTTGCACATCGTAATATTTTACCTAACCTTCATTAAATCCCAAGTTGGGGAAGGGTAACTTCTTCTGGTACCTCCTCACATATGGAAGCTCTTTGATAAAAAACATATACTTCATAAAGCCAACAGTAAATAATATGTGGTCTCAACTTACAGTCCCTAATTTTATACTAAATACAGATATAGTCCAACTATCGGCGCGGTAGGTCCATCAACTCGTGTACCTCCCCAACAAACAGTCAAAATTTTGAAAAATAATAAATTTTAGTAATTGAGTAGACCTCCGCAATCCTTTGGCTGTTGTTATATATCTGTCGGCAACATCGATCTGGACTGACCTCACATAGCAGAAAAATGTACTGGTTTTCTTACTTGGAGGACAAATCGTTTCCTCGGGTGAATTTGCGACTTTTGGACCTACACAAGTTTTTTTGTCTGGGTATTATAGCTTTGTGCAGCCCCCAAAGTTTGTAACGACGCGAAATATTGGTCCTAGATCCACATTTAAGTATGCCGATCGTCATATCTCGAGTAGCTGAGTCAATCTTGTCTGCCCATTATAATTTGTAAACACGATATAGGCCACAATTATTTACTAATCGCCACGAATTTTTGCATGTAGGACTGGTTCTGACCAGAGAAGACGCCTTTTTGGTGAAGATCGGTTAATAGTTAGGGGTTGAAATTGTCTGTTTTTCTGGTCGCTATAAAGGCCGCACTTATGGGCCGAACTTTACACCAGGAAGGTTATCTGGCCAAATAATAAACATGTCTGTTTTGATAAAGATCGGTCAATATTTAACTTTCAACTTTGCCTTCTACGAGGTATATATTTACTCCTGAAGGACATAGACCCGAGAAGTTGATAGTATATCCAAGAGGAGTTGTTGACAATTAAATTGATATTATGTGGATGTATGTAGTCGAATGTGGGTGTTAAGTATTACTATATCCCTACTAGACGGCGGAAATGCTACGCTGATCGTTTAAAAATTTTACATGAAGTTCTGGTTATGGTCGAGGATGAAGCCTATCATTTTTGTTGATGTTGAGATTATATTTAAGGGGTGCCATGAATCGAAAACTTTATTTTTGTCAGATTTTCTAGTTGCTCTATAGACCATTATTATATGCAGAACATCACATATTTTAAGGGGCGAAGGGAATCTGACTAAATACTTTGAACTGATGTTTAAATGATGATCGGTCAATATTTCGATGGCCAAATGAACCAAACCCTAAAACCTAAACCTAAAACCTAAAATATAGCGAAATATTGTCCAGTCTCAGAATGAAGAACCGCAGCAATTTCGATTTTCGTGGTAGTTGTGTAGGGTATTATATGAACGGCCCCGTCCGCCTTATAATGTGCCTAAAAGTCCCTATTTGGTACTTATCATAAATTTATTAATTTTTATAGTTAAATGTAGACAACAAAATTTTTAGTAATGTTCCATATAGTTCCAATACAAGATCCGAATTAATTTTCGATATTTTGAAGTTCTTTGTCTAATTGTCAACTTGAGTATTTTTGGATATTTAATTTTATCTGAGAATAAAACTGACTGCTATATAATGTAGGATCATTTCATAACTTTGACTCCATATATATTGGACACTTATACTGGCCCGACCTATTTTATGTATTTTGAATGTCCACTTCTTTGAGTAGGGTATAAAAAGTTCGATCCGTCGAACTTAAGAGCATATTTTATTTATTTCTATTTTATTGTTTTGTGCAACCATTTGTTTTAATTTTTATGTTCATTTTACTTTTACTGTTGTTACGAATATGATAAACAGTCACAATCAATAAAATCCACAATGATTAATCAATTTTTAGGGGAAACACATTGTTAAATTGTTTTTACTCGTATATTGTGATCTATTATTATAATAATTTGTTGAACATACACCACAACAAACAAACCAAAAATATATGCATGCAATTATCTTCCATTTCAAGTGATAAGAATTTTTTACGTTGCTACCTTTGTTATAAACGGTAAACATTTATTCTGCTATACATTATTATAAAACTTATACATATGACTACTCTATAATTTTAAATAAATACTTAAAATTAATAAATATTGGCAGTAGCGAATGATGGATTTGTCTTAAATGCTCCTATTGACCTAAACGATTATATGCTGGCTTTGGAGCGACCCAATGTTTGCCCAAGGCCTTATCTCGTGCTTTGTCCCTTAGAACTTTACCACTACCCGTTTTTGGGAGCTCATCGAGAAAGAACACTCCACAGTGTAGCTGTTTGTGTTCAACGACCAAACGTTTGGCCACATACTCCACTACATCCTGTTCACTGAGTCTACTACCGGGTACTTTGACAACTGCCGCTGCAGCAGCATCACCATCAACTTCATTCCACAGGCCGAATACACAAACTTCCAAAACATCGGGTATTTCGGCAACACACTGCTCCAATTCCAGTGGCCAATATTGCATGCCATGGAAACGTAATGAGTTACACTTGCGGTCCACCACATACAAATAGTTGTCTCTGTCGAAGAAACCCAAGTCGCCGGTATGATACCAACCTTGGTAGTCTTGTATACGTTTCGATTCTGAAGGATTGCCATAATAACCATTCCACACCTTGCCAGTATTAACCAAAATTTCACCCATCTCTCCGTGTCCCAGATTGTGTTCATTTTCATCGACAATTCTCACCTTGACACCGGGTACCACCTTACCCACACTGTTCGGGTGGCCAACACCCATGTTGCCAGCAACACCACCACATTCTGTCAAAGCGTAACCATAAGAGATTAAGCCATTTGTGAGGTAATCTTGTAGCTTCAGCAGTGTCATAACCGGAACATTGCCTCCTGAGATGCTTATAAATCGAACACTGCTTAATTTATCTTTGGTCAATATGTTGCACTTGGTCAGAGCTGCAACACAGGTGGGCGACAGAGTGAGCAGGGTAATTTTGTATTTATTTATTAGATCCAACAGATATTCGGCATTTTGAGGTTTGTCGGTAATTATGCGGGTGGAGCTGTGGCCACAGCTAAATATCATATTAAACAAGCCCGAGGATATGTCAACCGTATTAAAGGAGAACAGTACATCTTGGCCAGTCATAAAGCTATAAGAGATTTGAATAAAATTAGAATGAGGAAAATAAAATTATGTGCGAAATGTAATTTACCCATAATCGAAGAGACAAGCGGAATTTGATATGCACACATTTTTTGGCATTCCTGTTGTACCCGCCGTACAGACAATAGCCACTGTTTGATCACCACCTTGTTTAAGAGTTTCAGGCCTGAAAGATAATGAAGTACAAAATTAATAATAAAAACAAGTGAAAGAGGTTAATTTCTATAGGTTACGTCTTCGGACTTTATCTTGTCATGGTATTATGACGTGCAAGTGTTGCTTAATGTGCGATACTTACATCCTGTTTTTGTAAAATTCCAAACGAACGAATTCGAGTGACTTACGACCAAACTCCTTGGTTTTGAAAAATATGTCATTTATTTTTGTTTTGAATCAGAAAACCTTTATACACATAAATAAAGGTTTGGTCGTAAGTCACTCGAATTCGTTCGTTCGGAATTTTACAAAAACAGGCTGTTAATATTAAATTTACAAGTTTGGGGGTTTTCAAAGGTAGTTGAAAATAATCTATATATTTATAAAAATATTACGAAGGAAAAAGTTTGGATAATTCCGGATATGATTTTAAAATGTTAATTAGGATGCGTTTTTTCCAAAATCACAATGTACACAATTTCTGAAGGATGACAATGGTCGTAAGGACCATTAAGCGAGTTTTGTGGACCGATTGGAGTTTGGGAAGGGGAGTGGTGGAATCATATATGATAGGTTATTTGTTTCCGGCTCGACTGTCTTGGGACCGAAAAAGCTTATTTAGTGTCAGCGGGTGCGTCTGAATGTTTCAACAGATGCGGTGCAGGGTGCTGCTTAACATCGTGCGGTCAAGAGGCACGGCATCGTGCAGTCAAGAGGTAAGATGTAGCGCTATCAAGTATAAGCTTAAGCGTGACATGCAGTTGGATGAAATTGATTGGCTCAGGCCTTCTGATCTGGTGGATGGGGATAGTAGGTTGTTGATAGTTGACGGGTGGAGGGTGTTTGCTTTTAAAGTGTTAAGGGGAAGGACAGTACTTAGTGGAGGTGGTTTTCGTGCATAGCCCCCTTGCAGCAGGGCTTGGTTGGTGGTGAATTGGTGCGGCGTTTGGCAATGAGTGAGTTAGCTGACGGTGGCTGTTGCGCAGTTGGCAGTTTCGTTGATGGTTATTGTTGTAGCAGCCCTACTGCGTTGTTCATACAATGAGCTGAGGTGACAGACGTTGGCCGAGAAAGACTACGGTCGTTTCGTAGGCCCTTCTGTCGTGGTGTCCGTTGTCGTGGTCGTTTGGACCCTTGTGTAGAAGCATGTTAATGGTTTGTGTTCTGTGTGATTGTTCGTCGTTGTTGCTGCCAGTAGCAGTGTTGCTGCTTGCCACTGTCAATGTTGCTGTTGCGGAAACGCTGAGCGGTAAGTTGCGTATGTGTCGTTTGTGTTTTTTACTGGGATACCAGCCCGGACTTGTGTCAAACTGATAGAGGTTTTGTGTCTCGAGCCTTATCGGAGGTTTTCCGTACAGTGGCTGTCAGCCCACACCAAGGGGAGAGTGTGTCTTCAGCATGATCGCCAATTGGTACAGCACAACGATGCTGGTGGGCGTTATTCCACCTGTGGATCAGTCACTGTGTGGTAGGCCAAATGACAGATACTCACATTAAACTTTCCAGATACCATTTACGTATATGTATCCACTTAGAAGTTATTGTCAATCTTGTGACAAAACAGGTACTTTTCCGAGTGTTATACCCTGCATCATAGGAATTTACATTTTTGATCAGAATAAAATCATATGACCATTTGTCTGTCACAATTGAGTTCCCAATATTTAACATAGTGTTTTGAAAAGTTACTAACATTTTTTACATAGATATAAGAGCAAGTCAATAAAACTAGTGATAAGATGACACACATTTTTTTACTTATTGGTAGTTCGTATTTAAATCTACCGTCTTATATTTTTAGAACTTTAATTGCTGAAAAGGAATTTTAGTTGAAATGATAATATTTCTGCATACCTTACTACAGCGGATATCGCACGAAAGTCTTAACTGTTTTTTTTTTTCTTATCGCCACGTTCTTATGTTTGGTCATTAAAGCCCATAGAAACCAATTGGGCGATAAGAAGTGCCCTCCAATCGTTTATTAAACAAAACCTGAGCGGACAGACGCCAATATTTTTTATGATATCAATACAACTGTTGTTTTTGTAGTTGGTGTTGAATTTCGTGTAAGTGTACAATACCGAATTAACCAAAAATCACCTGTTTTGAAATAGAATTGCTCAAACGGGAACACAAGTTACCCGATTTATGGTTTTACATTGTGTGTGAGTGTAAAATATTATTAATACATATGATCTAATGTACCTATATCTTAAACATATCTTGGATTTGTATCAATCTTTAATACAAAATTTTGTATTGTAACCATCCTCGGTTATTTATAAATAAGGTCCTTTTCACACATTACATTACTTACACATAAAACAATTCCGCATTTGTCGGCTCTAGGAGATCTTCGACTTTTGACACATCCACACGATGTTGATTCAGGGTAATCATTTGGGCCTTTAAAATTTTACCAATCACCGCCACATTGGCGTAAATAGCGCCATCACAAAAAATCACCTTGGGTCTCGTGCCTTGGAATAAATGTTTTATGGTTGCTGAAATTCGTAGATAAAATTGTTTATCACACAATCACGATTATAATTTCCAAAAGAGAAAATCACAGAAAATTACCTTCGTCATTCTTATAGTTAATGGCATGGAATGGGGTACAATTGAACAAACAACCCAAGACTACGGGCATAAGGTAGGTGGTATTGGAACCCACAATACCCACAACATCGTCTTGTCGCAAACCAATTGTCTTAAAATATTGAGCTATGCGTATACCAAATGTCAGGGCTTCATTGTTGGTAAGGGCGGTACCTTCCGTGTCGGATATCTAGAAGAAAAATAATATTTTTAATTTTCACACTTCACCACACCCCAAACCTTTGGCAATTACCTGGCATATATTTTTCGGATTATTTCGCATAAAAGCATACAAAATTTTACCAATTGGACAATCCGAGTCAAAGAAGTTCGTAGCCTTCGGACCCGTCCATATTTTCGTGTATTTATCAAATTGTGTATGCAAACGTTCCATAACAACAACGCCTCTTCTAATCCGCTGCAAACCCGCTAAATTATTTTATGTGTGTCTCTCCCAGACGCAAGACATTAGCCAACTAAAATATTGTTTACTGCCCAGTTTACCTTCGTCAGTTCAACAAATACCTTAGATAAGGACGATATCGACAATTTATAAGAGAATTTAGAATGCATTGATATTTTTGAGAAGGGAACACGGTTTTTCTCTTTCTCTCTTTTTTCGCCATGGTATACTCTGACTTATTATTTTATTGATAAGTTATTATGGGGATAGTACAAGAATATTGTTATCATTCCGTAACGAGAATGCCGATTTGAAGTGCCAATAAATTTAATTATTTTACAAATTTTTCAGAATATTTAGAAATATTGAACATTTGTTTTTTTTTTTGTGGAATACAAATAACTTTCTCTACACGGTTGAAATCCAACCGTTCGTTTAATCGACCGTATTCGCTATAAGATTTGTAAAATTTCGTAGAAACAGATGATCGAATTTTGCAATTATGTGCAAATTTGAGTACTAATCATATTTTCAGTATAAATATTAGGGTGTACAAAATTGATAATTCATAAGTATAATACATTCAAATAGTATAATGCATGGTACAATTATACAAGATATGGTATCTTATGTCAACAAAGAGAAAATACACCTATACCTCGTGGGCTATACAGGGTGAGACGAAAAAACTGCAACTAACTTCAGACTGCTGTCATTTCTAAGCCACTCGTCCGAAGGCTGTTAAAATTTCTCCAGTGACAGCTCATTATATTGTTTACAAGCATACAAAAGCGTTTTGGTAAGAATTTTCCAGAAAAAAGTTATTCGTGATGGAACCGAAAGAAAATATACTGAAAAGATCCAAAGAGCATGGCCGAAAGTGGTGAACTGCCGAATTTGGTTTTCGTCGATGAGAAAACATTCGTTGTCCAGCAGTTTGTAAACAAACAAAATGATCGTGTTTACTTGCCAAAGAGGTCAGCTGAAAATATGAACCTTCGGTTGGCCACCAAAACTTAAGCGTCGGCCATGGTAATGGCCACCAACATCTCCTCATACCAATCCGTTGGACTATTGTGTCTGGAGTATTTTGGAAAGCAAGGTTGGCACTAAAAAATACCAAAGTGTTGATCACCTTAAGCAAGCGCTTCGCCGGGAATGGGCCAAAATACCGCAGAGCAACAATCGGGCAGCGTGTGATGGTTTCATTGGCCGTTTGAAGGCCATAATTCGCGCCAAAGGTGACCAATTCGAACAAATCTAAACTTATTCTAAAATTTGACGCTATTTCCGATATTTTTGCTTTCATTCAATGTAATTTAAAAAAAAATTTGAAAATAATGGCGCTTGAATTTGTTGCAGTTTGTTATCTCATCCTGTAATATCAGAATAAATAAAAAAAAATATTGCCAAAAAAAAAACAAATGCAACAATGGGTCCCGCTTTCGGACTTAATCCAGGCTTTGTAAAGATAATAGGCTGTGCAAGGTTTGGTTCAAATCGAACATTCCATTCGCCTGAAATTTGATTTATGAATATTGAAATTTTTGACCCTGTGGGGGTCAAAGAAAATAGTTTTCCAAGGTTTGGTTCAAATCGAACGTTCCATTCGCCTGAAATCGGCTGTATAAATATTGAAAAATGTGACCCTTTGTGGGGGAGGTACTTGAAGGTGTGGACCAATGGGTCACATTTTCCTCTTGATATAGGCTTGGTAAAGTTTATATGTTGTACAAAGTTCGGTTCAAATCCGCATGATGTTATGCAACTAATTTTTGCATTGATTTTTTGCAATGATTTTGGTTGAATGTATCGACAGTATCCTGTCGATATAGCAGTCACATCTTTGGAAGGTCATGCGCATGAAATCGTTCTACATGTTCACATCAAATTGTTATATCTATGGAAAATTTCATGACCGTCGGTTAGACTTACGGTCTTTTTATGTAAATCTGTACTGATTTGAAGAACACAATTATAACCGATGTGTCGTTATAAACGATTTTAATTGTACATAAAATCGGTCGATAATATTATGTTCGAGAAAAAGAAATATATTATTTTTGTATGAACTATAGAACTTTATCATGCTTCGGAATGTAAGATTTTAGCCAAATATGCACCATTTTGTTGTATGATTTGTTGCGATAGAAGTCCTGCTCTCTATTTGCAAAAAAAAAAACTCTAGTAGTCAATTTTCACAATCCTCCCTAGATACCAATTTTGCAATGCAAGAAAAATATGATAATCGCATGGTGCCAAGTCCGGACTGTAATGCGGATGAATTTTTAACTTCCCAACCAAGCTCGCGAAGTTTCTGGCGAGCCACTGTTGATGTGTGTGGCCAACGTAGTCCTGGTGGAAAACGATGTTACGACTGCTAACATGATGGTCAACCTCGATCATTTCTCCCATTTATCGACATTTTCGACGAGGTGCATTTTTAACATCAAAAATTCCTGAACGGAATCTACGATGCCAAAATTGCACATAATTGACTGTTACAGTATAGGAACCATACACACCATTCACAATTTTAGCCGCTTGGCTTACATTTTCGCCTTTGTCAAAGAAAAACTGTAAAATGTACCGAATTTTCTCTTTGTTCACTTCCATTTTTAACACCCTGTAATTCACAACTGAATGCAGCAAACAAATAACAGCAAAATATTTTTTTACTGCGAAATCGATACTTTACGATAAATCTATCAGTACAGCCCTCTGCCGAAAAAATAATGGATTTCTTTTTCCCCAACCTAATATATGGGATCTATATCTAAATCTGAAATAATTTCAGCAAAACCTAATACACATCCTTTGATTCAATGGGACAAACCTTAGGAGCTTCGTGCTCCAATTAAGTCGAATCGAACGGGAGCTATATTTAAATCTGTTCCGGTTTCAACGAAACTTAACACCCGCCATTCTAAACTCAATTCATTACGCTATATTAAATTTCGTCTCAATTTGATAAACCCTAAGAACTTATTGCTATATCTAAATCTGAATCGATTTTGATACAATTTTACACATATCATTCCAACCTCAATTCGCGAATTGTACCGCGCGGTACAAATGTTTGTCTCAAAGACATAATAACATGCACCCCAGGGTTGTGCAGTGTATTCAAATTCATATGAGTTCTTATAAATAAGAGCAATCAAATGATTTTGAGCGTGATTTTTTTATAGAATTATATAATCATTATTAACATTGCTTAGGCGAGGGGTTTGCTCTACTCCTCGCCGTGGTTGTGTGGTGGTTGGGGGTGTTCAATGTATTAACTCAAGGGAGCGGGGTGAAGCGACAACGAGAGCTCCCAAGCAGTTAATGGTGTAAATGGAAAAGAAAAGAAAGTTCAAAGAAATAAAACACAAAGAATTAGTAAAAAAAATCTTAATAATCTCTGTTTTATTGGTGGTGTTCTTTTCTTTATTCAACAACAAAATTACCTTTGTAATTTGTGCGGGGACAGAGGCCTGTTAGTAGATAACGCGTAGACGTTATGCGACTATGTTAACTTTAAGGAGCTTGGTCGACCAGTGAACGCTGTGGTTCATGCAATCACAGAGGATTGCGGCGATCGCTGAGGATCGGTTGTCGTTTACTACTACATTTACATATTCCAATGGCAGAAAAGGTCAAGCAAGGAGAGCAAAACAGCAACAACCACCGCTCGTTGGCATTGGAGATGCCCGTGGTGTCAATCAACAGACGTGATTGACTGAGCTCAGGAAGTTGAGTCAGAACGTATCAAACTTATACAAACATTGTATCTAACCTTAATCAATAACTCATAAAAATACAGGGTACGTGGTAGTAAACAAGTAATCATTAATTTACAAGCCATAATGTCTTAATGTTACTCATCACATCATATTGCATTTTCTAACTTTCTGTCCACTCTCTAATTTTTAAGTCCACATTTCAGTCGCCAGTCCATGTTTTTATACCCTTCACCACACTGTGGTACAGGGTATTATGTCTTTGTGCATATGTTTGTAACAGGCAAAAATAATCGAGTTAGACCCATGGTTCCTTTTGAGAATATGCATAGAATCACTTTCTGAGTCGATTTATGCATGTCCGTCTGTCCGTCCGTCCGTCCGTCTGTCCATGTAAAATTGTAAACAAAGTACAGGTCGCATTTATGATCCGAATTGGATGAAATTTGGCATAGGTCACTTATTCGGCCCAAGGACGAACCCTATTGAAATTGGGAAAAATCGGTTCAGATTTAGATATAGCTCCCATATATATATTTAACCGATTTAATGTGAACGGTCCCTATATATCTTTCGATTTGCACGAAATTTGGTACAGCCTAATCATTTAGGTCTAGAATGATGTCTGCCAAGTTTCGTGAAAATCGGTCCAGATTTAGATATAGCTCCCATATATAGTTTCGTCCGATTTCATGTAAATGGTGCCCCAAAGTCCCTATATATCCTTCGATTTGCACGAAATTTGACATAACGTACTGAATTAAGCCTAGAGTGATGTCTGCCAAGTTTCGAGAAAATCGGTCCAGATTTAGATATAGCTCCCATATATAATTTCGTCCGATTTCATGTAAATGGTGCCCCAAAGTCCCTATATATCTTTCGATTTGCACGAAATTTGGCATAACGTACGGAATTAAGCCTTGAATGACGTCTGCAAAGTTTCGGTCCAGATTAAGATATAGCTCCCATATATAGTTTCGTCCGATTTCATGTAAATGGTGCACCAAAGTCCCTATATATGATTCGATTTGCACGAAATTCGGTACAGCGTAATGAATTAGGCCTATAATGATGTGTGCTGAGTTTCAAGAAAATCGGTTCAGATTTAGATATAGCTCCCACATATAGTTTCGTCCGATTTAATGTAAATGGTGCACCGAAGTCCCTATATATCTTTCGATTTGAACGAAATTTTGCACAGCGTACTGAATTAGGTCTAGAATGATGTGTGTTAAGTTTCTCGAAAATCGGTTCAGATTTAGATAT